TGTGTGTGTGTGAGTGTGTGTATATATATATACACACACTCACACACACACACACCCATACACATACCACATTTAGTATGCAAGTAGCAATAGTTGACATTCATGCAGTGCTTTGTAGTTTAAGGAAAGCTCATATGTTTACAGTTTCATTTAATTTATGGTAGTCTAATCTGTTAAACTATTGAAATTACAGATAATTTTAGAAAAATAATACCTTAAATTCACTAATTGAGACTTTATCCATAGTCACATTGTATTGTTTGCCAGGTATTTTTCCAAAGAAAGATGTAAGTTTGCAAACACTGAGGATAAAACTTTCTGTAGGTGTTAGGTTCTTCACTGTAAATGACAGTATGTACTGCTGTAGTCAGTTAAGTCAGTACCTTGCTGATACTTTAATATAAAATCAAGTTAACACATAATTAGGTAGGTAATATTAAATAATTGAATCATAATATTTTATTTGTCTTTCTTCCTGAAAAGAATATATCCTTCAAATTTTGAACTCATTTTTCAATTAAATTATAAAACTTTACATGTGTTTTTCTTTCTTAGAAGGAACATAATCTTCAAGTTTTGGGTCTGGTGAAATCAGATGAAGGGTTCTATCAATGCATTGCTGAGAATGATGTTGGAAATGCACAAGCTGGAGCTCAACTGATAATCCTTGAACATGGTAAGAGGGGCTGAAATAGACAAAGGAGGCTAACTATGTGTTTGAAGAACCACATTTCAGGATACCACATTGTCAGCCTATTTGTAAAATATATGGCATAACTAAGAGAAAAAGAATGGCAATTTAAATCATTTCTGTCATTTAAAATTACATAGAATTACAATGTCAGATAATGTTGAAAAGAAACTGGTATTAAGAAAAACTGAACCAGTTGTAGTCTTATATAAATTAATATTTTTTTAGAATTCTGTCATTTTAATCTTGCAAATATATTTCTGCCTTGTAAAGATTAAAAACTTCTTATACCGTTTATTTTGCATTGAAATTTTCTTCACTTTTTGCAAAATAAAATTAGCATGCCTTTTTTATTATTACCAAAAGCACATATGGGTGTTATACAACATTCAGTCAACACTGAAAAGTATAAAGAATCCCCCCTTCCCCTTTACTAGTCAATGTAAAATCAGGGAGAACACTATAATTAGAGCAGGGAAAGCTTAATGTAAAGAATTATTAGTTAGCTGGGTAGTGCATGCCTGTAATCCCAGGGTTAGGGGGGCTGAGGCAGGAAGATTGTGTGTGAGTTAAAAGCCAGCCTTAGCAATTTAGCGAGGCCCTAAGCAACTCAGCGAGACTCTGTCTCTTAATATAATATAAAAAAGGGTTGGGGATATTGCTCAATGGTTAAGTGCCCCTGGGTTCAATTCTTCTGATACCGGGGAAAAAAAAAAAAAAATAAATATATATATATATATAAAATAGATACCAGTTAATAAAAAATACCAGTTAATTATATATAGACTACAAAAAACTTAACCAAAAGTCATATTCTGTTATATGATTATTTTCTCATATTAAATTACTGAAAGTTAAATTATTGGATTAAAACAGTTCTGCATCAAATTGGTAAGGGAGACCATCAGGTACATTATTTATTTATCTATCTTTAACAACTAAATTATTTTTCTTTTTGAGCATTTCTCAAAAATTAATGAAAAAGATACCACTTTTAAATGTCTTTTATCCAAGTCAAATATGGTCAGGTACTAATGTGGTTCCAGGAAGAATTTCTGTGACAACTGTAGCCTGATGAGGGAAGCTAATTGGCAAAAATGACACCTACTATGACATCTCTTTAAAATAGCATATAGGATTTTTATGTGCTTGCTTTTGAAAATATAGGTGGAGTACTGTTATAAAAGACATAAAATATTAGAATTGCTTTTTTCTTTCTATGTTTGTTTGTGATCATACTCTTCCTCATTCATTGGAAATGATTTAAGAACCATGTCACTTTCCCATCTTAGCAGAATGCCTGAGAACAATTAACAAATAAGATACTAGCAGAATCCGTGAGGTAGATGGGCTTATTTTTTTTTTACTAATGGCAGTGACTTTTTTCTTTGTAAACTTTCTGGCTATCTTGAGGTATATTTACATGGAATTAAGTAAAAGAACTTGAGCATACTTATGATTACCATTATAAATCTAACTCTAACAATGTAGATGATTGATGATGCTAGGAAGTCCCTAAATTAATCCTAATTGGGGTCTTCTCATCTTGGATGGTATAATAATTATAGTCATAGTGTGTGTGCTTTTTTTTCTTTTTGAGAACAATGTTTTATGGACTGCTGAAAATTTTTAGTGACCTTATCAGGAACTCAGGGATGTATTCATGATACATAGATAAGAAAGAAGAGAAGGATCATGTTATTAGTTTTGTTTTTTATTTTGCTGTTTTGTGTGTGTGTGGGGGGGTTTACTTATTTATTTTTGAGGCAGGGTCTCACTTATAGTTCTGGAACTATAGGAACACATTACTGTGCCTGTCCTTTTTACTGCTTTGTTTTAATTTGCAAGATAAATGTTTATATGGGAAGGCTAAAAGAGGGACTGTAACAACAAAGATCTGATCTCTGCCTTTCTGGAATTTATATTATGGTGAAGAATGTAAAGAGGTATATTACAACTTTAATACCAGTCCAGATTAGGTTTATTTTATGGTACAAATAAAGCCACTACAATTCAGAAGAGAAGAATTCTGTCTGTGTGATCAGGGAATGTTTTTCATGTTAGATGTCCCCTTTGTAATAGGACTTGAATGTTCAGATTTCCAATTGTTGATTTAAAAGATGATCTGAATCAGCATGGAACTAGAACAGAGTACCTGTTTTTGAAAAAAGGTGGCCTATAGAGGCAGAAGAGGATCACAATGCTTTCGTAAGTTAGGTTTAATTAGAATGCAGGCTGGTTCAAAGAATGTTGTTATGAGACAATAGTGAGATGATAATAAGTACATGTACTAAACAAATGAATAAAGAGGGTTCTAATAAACAAACACTAATGGTTTCTCTGAATCAGATTATCAACTGATTGGATATTAAACATTGTTGTAGAGAAGTCAGAGATACTTCCAAGGTTTTATCTGGATGAGTGGAAGAATGATGATGCCTTTCAGATATAGAAAAGGAAGGTGAACTGAAGTGGAAGGGGCTCTCTACTTCTACTCAGGATGTAGAATATACAGAGAACTTTTCCTTTTCACTGCAAGAAAAACTTAATAAGCTACAAAATCATAACTTCTCTCTTTTCAGAGAGGTGAGCTTGCAATGCAACCTAGTAACAAATTCTAAAAAAGGAAAAATGAAAAGGAATGTAGTTATTTGAATTATTTTACCTTTGGCATAGCACAAAATAAAGAAATGGCTACCAGGAAAGTTGGCAAGAAGAAAACTTAAAAAAATTTAACTAATTTTTCAAGGCCAATTATGGGCTAGTTCCAAGGGTTCCACATTACAAAAGGGGTTCACATTTGCTTGCAGATAGTTTTCCCTTGGGCTCCACAGAGTACTCCCAATTAAGAGAGGGGGCAAAGCAGGAAACTTCAGAAAATTATCTCTGTGGTCTAGGAATGAAGGAGGTGTTTGCCTGTTGGAAGACAGACACAGAGATCCTCCCATGTAAAACCTCTTTATTTCATAAGTTTTTGGAGAGAGAGTAGAAGTCAAACCTCTCTGCTATTGTGGGGAGAAACTCTGGAGATACAGGATAAAGGCAAAAGCTCATTGCTGCTAGGAAAAGAAGAGAAAACACTTTACCTCTGAAAGAGGTACAGAAAATCACTTTAGGCCTCAGCATCCTGTGCCTATATAAAAAAGAAGAGGTCTTCTACTACTGGGGGAAGAGTCAGAAACTCCCACCTAGGATCAACATAAATGCAAAGCAGACTTGGGCTGCCATAGGAAAAAGAACCCTAAGACCTACCTGAGATTGAGGCTGAACCCAACAGTAAGCATAGCAGTCTATCAGTAGAAGAATTTGAAATCTTTACTGTAGGTAACTGTAATAACAGTAAAATCTCACACCAAGTTCAGTTCCTGACTAGATTGTCTAAACTCTACCACACTAATAGTTTAACAAAAGAATAAGTCTGCCAATATCTAAGTAAATAATACTTGCTGCTGTTTTGCACACCACATACTTCATTCAGTCAAAAATTAGTCTCAAAAAAAAAAAAAAAAAAAGCAAAGGGTCATTAGAGATATTGGTCTGAAGTTTTCTTTTTTTGATGTGTCTTTGCCTGGTTTTGGAATCAGGGTGGTATTGGCCTCATAGAATGAGTTTGGAAGAGCTGCCTTTTTTTTTCTATTTCCTGAAATAAATTGAGGAGTATTGGTATTAGTTCTTCTTTCAAGGTTTTGTAGAACTCGGCTATGTATCCATCCGGTCCTGGGCTTTTCTTGGTTCGTAGGCTTCTGATGGTGTCTTCTATTTTATTGCTTGAAATTGATCCGTTTAACTTGTGTATCTCATCCTGATTCGATTTGGGCAAATCATATGACTCTAGAAATTTGTTGATGCTTTCGATATTTTCTATTTTATTGGAGTACAAATTTTCAAAACAATTTCTAATTTCTTCTATATTTCTGCAGTGTCTGTTGTGATATTTCCTTTTCCATCATGTACGTTAGTAATTTGAGTTTTCTCTCTTTCTCTTCGTTAGCATGGCTAAGGGTCTATCAACTTTATTTTTTCAAAGAACCAACTTTTTGTTCTATCAGTTTTTTCAATTGTTTTTTTTTGTTTGTTTGTTTGTTTCAATTTCATTGATTTCAGCTCTGATTTTAATTACTTCCTGTCTTCTGCTTTTGGTGTAGATTTGTTCTTTTTCTAGGGCTTTGAGATGTAATGTTAAGTCATTTATTTATTGACTTTTTCTTGTTTTAATTCATGGCATGGATGCAATGAACTTTCCTCTTTGAACTGCCTTCATAGTGTCCCAGAGATTTCAATATGTTGTACTTGTGTTCTCATTCACCTCTAAAAATTTTTTAATCTCCTCCTTGATGTCTTCTGCAACCCATTGTTCATTCAGTAGCATAGTATTTAGTCTCCAGGTGTTGGAGTAGCTTTATTTCTTATTTTATCATTGATTTTTTTTTAAAAAGGCAAAGGTAAAAAGCTTACTTGTTATTGAGAAATAAAGCAATTAACAGAATCAAACTCAGATTTTGTGTCATCTGTATATAAAGGCAATAGAAAGATATTCATAGAAAATATACTATGCACATGATATTTCTTACATACCTTTCTTTTAAAAATTACTCATAGCGGGCTGGGGTTGTAGCTCAGTGGTAGAGCTCTTGTCTCACATGCATGAGGCACTGTGTTTGATCCTCAGCACCATATAAAAATAAGGGTATTGTGTCCATCTACAACTAAAAAAAATATTTAAAAAAAGTTACTCAGAGATGTGCTTTGACAGATTGTACAATGAATCAAGCCAGGCTCTGGTGGTGCCTGCCTAAAATCCTAGCAGCTCGGGAGGCCGAGACAGGAGGATCTCAAGTTCAAAGCCAGCCTCAGCAACTTTGCAAGACTCTGTCTCAAAATAAAAAATGAAAAGGACTGGGATATGGCTCAGTGGTTAAGTACCTCTGGGTTCAATTCCTGGTACCTAAAATGAATCAAAACAAAGTAAAAAACAAAACAATACT